CTGTTTCGCAAAAATTAATTCCACAGAACTACCCATCGTGAAACTGTTTCGCAAAACTCCTTCTGGAATAAATGGAAGTCATAAGGGAAACAGGATGTCCATAAAACTTCTGAATCATGCATCTGTCCGAGGAAGCCTGTGTCAAAGGACGTGTTGATGTATTACAACGATGCTGATGAGCAGGAAAAATAAGTCATCACTGACATGTTCGAGTTAAGTATTTTAAGATGGTTTTAACATCTTAACTCAGGCTATGTTCCATTTGCGATAAGCCACAGCATATAGAAACTCAGAGCGGCCTGATTCAGATGTAAAATTAGGATTCAGTAGTCTACTAGGCCAGAATTCCCCAACATTTCTGGCTTGCAGACCAGCCCGGGGAGCCCATTTAACCAACTTTCTTGCCACAGTTGTTAAGTGAAGCACTGCAGTTGTTAAATTAGTAAATCGGTTGTTCGGTGAATCTGGCTTTCCCCTTTGACTTTGGTTGTCAGAAGGTTGCAAAAGGGGATCATGTGGCCCTGGGACCCTGCAACCCTCAGAAATATTAATCAGTTGCCAAGCGTCTGGATTTTGATCACATGACCATGGGGATGCTGTAATGGTCATAAGTGCGAAAAATGGTCATAAGTCACTTTTTTCAGTGCCATTGTAATTTCGAATGGTCACTAAGTGAACTGTTGTAAATTGAGGACTACCTGTAATCCGGAATCAGTGGGATTTGGTTCTCAATTGAAATGTCTGCCGAATAAAAATCAAAGGTAGCCATGCCAAATTTTCAGCACCTATTCCCAAACACTCTATCGGTCCTCAATTTATGACCACAATTGAGCCCAAATTTTTCTGTTAACTGAGTTCTGCCTCACTTTATGACCTTTCTTGCCACCGTTGTTCAGTGAATCACTGCAGTTATTAAGTTAGTGACACAGTTGTTAAGGGAATCCGGCTTCCCCATTGAATTTGCTTGTCAGAAGGTCGCAAAATGAGATCACAACCTCGAGACACTGCAATCGTCATGAATATGAACTAGTTGCCAAGCATTTGAATTTTGATCATGTGACCGTGGGAATGCAGCAAAGATGTGAAAAATGGTCATAGGTCACTTTTTTGAGTGCCTGTGATGACCCAGGGTGTAACACAAACGTAACAAAATCCAGAACATAAATAAATGTCCTTTAATGCCTCCAATTTGGCCCCACTGTTCAATAATACTCAATTGGAGATAAAACCTACTCAAAAATAGTCTTCAAAAGAAAGCAATACAGTCCGAATTTAATGAGCAGACAGAGGTGAAATAAAAAAACAAACTACAATGATGAAATTTCCACAATGGAACAAGAGAAGTATTTACCAAATTCAAGGAGATAACAAGGCACTGTCTGTTGGAAGGAGGCCAACCAAGATAACTTCAGACCAAAATAAAACACGCTTTGTTTCCAGCGTTTGCCAGTACGCAGGTCCAAACTCTTATTCAGTTGTCACAGCTGCAGCCCATGAAGAGGATCAAAGCCCTCTCCTCCTGAGTAGACCACGTCTCTCCCTTATCCTCTCCTCCCTACGTGCCCTAGGATGGATAGGGGATGGGCCTGGGTCCTCCTCTGACTGCTCAGCCGGCCTCTGCCCTTCCCCAGCCTCCTCCACAACCTCCGGAGCCACACTTCCACTCCGTCGGTTGGTCCTCCTCTCCCTCAGAGTCAGTCTCCACCAGGAGCATGACAGTGCCGTTGTAATTTTGAACAGTTACTATACAAATGGCTGTAAGTTGAGGATTATCTGTATAGACATTTAGCTTCATTTCAGAACTAATCCGAGTGGCAGAAGCTCCCCAGATTCTCCCTTCAGTCAAATATAAGACACTCCCTAAATATAGTAGGCATTTTGTGAAAAGACACTGTTCACTTTAAAAACTTAAAAACACTGAACTGTTTCTTCTCTTTGTCTTCATTAATTGCACGTTCGAATTTAAATTTTAAGGAATCTGGGGCATGACTTTGGGGATGAACTAAAAAAAGGGGCACACAGCAGGTGGAAGAAAAAATAATAATAATAATCCAAAATCCTGAAATCAGAGGGGAAAAAAACTAAAGATTTTACAGCTGCTAGCAAGCTTAACACTGGTGCTATTTTAAGTGCCTTATCTCCAAGTTGAGGAACAGAGAGAAGATAACAGTATCTTGACTTCCTCATTCTACAGCTTACATCAGTTTGTGAGTGACAATAAACCATGATTTTATGGTGAGTGCTTTTTTAAAAATGAGCTATTATAGGCAAATGCAAATAAATAAATTTGCACTTGCCTATTATAGTTCATTTATAGTTCCTCTCTGTTCAAGCATAGCAAAACAGAGTTATGATTCTGCTTATCTAATAGAAGTATAGAAGCACAGCAATAGGGGTTCAAGAAGTAAAAAATGGATATGGTGATGCATAGGAAGCATCTGTTGGGTGTATCTTAAACAATGCCTCTAAACCCAAGAAGCAGCTGTGCCAGCCCAGAAAAAGATGAAACTGTGTAACAGATAACAGATAATCAGAGTTGGAAGGGACCTTGTAGGTCATCTAGTCCAACCCCCTGCCCAAGCGGAAGACCCTACACCATTTTTGACAAATGGCAGTCCAATCTCTTCTTGAAAGTCTCAAATGATGGTGCTCCCACAACTTCCGAGGGCAACTTCTGTTCCATGGGTTGATAGTTTTCACTGTCAGAAAATTTCTCCTTATTTCCAGGTTGAATTTCTCCTTGTTCAGTTTCCATCCATTATTCCTTGTCTGGCCTACAGGTGCTTTGGAAAATAGCTTGACCCCCACCTCTCTGTGGCAGCCCCTCAAATATTGGAAGATTGCTATCATGTCTGCCCTGATCCTTCTCTTCACTAGTCTAGCCATGCCCAGTTCCTGTAACTGTTCTTCGTATGTTTTTAGTCTCCAGTCCCCTACTCATCCTGGTTGCTTCTGAAAATCTTTTCAGCAAGTATGATGTGTGTGCCCTACACACATATACACAGTCACATTTTCTCCTTTGACCATGGATCTTTGCTCAGCCCAAGAACACACCAACCCCAAACCTAACAAGCCCATGATAGCTCAGAACAGCAATAGCAGTAGCACTTAAGACTTATAAACCGCTTCATAGTGTTTTATAGGACTCTCTGTTTACAGTCAGCATATTGTCCCCAACAATCAATGATATGTGAACCAGCACAGGTAGTCCTCGACTTACAACAGGGTTGCAGTGTCCCAGGGTCATGTGATCACCTTTTGCAATCTTTTGATGAGCAAAATCAATGGGGAAGCCAGATTAACAGTGGTGGTACTAACTTACCAACCACAGTGATTCAGTTAACAACTATGGCAAGAAAGGTCATAAAATGGGACTAAATCAATGTCTCACTTAAGGCAACAGGGCTTAAGTGAGTTGGGCTCAATTGTAGTTGTAACTCGAGGAGTAGCTGTTAACACCTCATGCAATTCTAGATACAGCCAGATGCTTCACAAAGTTAGTGAGATCCAATTGCTATCAAATCATCCTGAAACAAGCAAAAAATTATGCTTGTTGCTTCGTACGTGTTACGGACTTTTCATTTCTCATTTTACACTGGTTCCCCCTTATTTTCATATTTGCCACCAAAAGCAAACCTACAAGTATACTAATTACTCTGCTTTTTTTTTTTTTAGCAAAGAGCACACCCGAACCAAGTAACTCTTTCCAGTAAAACCAGAGTTTTTTATTGTATTTCTCGACAGCTTTGCTTCTCTTAGTCCTCTTTTCTCATAGCCATGTGTGTTCTTTTTCCTCTGTAGTACAAGTTTACAAAAAGGAGAGCCAATTTGGTGATGTGGTTAAAGAATTGGCTAGAAACCAGGAGACTGTGAGTTCTAGCCCTGCCTTAGGCACAAAGCCAGTCAGTCGGTGACTTCAGGTCAATTACTCCGTTGTAGTTCCAAGAAGAAGGCAAGGATAAACCAATTCCAAAAATGTTGCCAAGAATTACATGGTTCTGGAAACTAACTTGAAAGGGGAAAAAAATAGGTATAGAAAGAAACATACAATCTTCTTGTCCCAGAGGTGCTTTTTCCAAAAGGCAACTGGACTTTCTTGGTTTTGTTTCTTTGAAAACATTTCACTTCTTATCCAAGAAGCTTCTTCAGTTCTGAAGAACAGTTCTGAAGAAGCTTCTTGGATGAGAAGCGAAATATTTTCAAAGGAAAAAATGTCCAGTTGCCTTTTGGAAAAAGCACCTTTGGGACAACCATGTCCAGGAAGTTTGAGAATCTCCATAGACATGCAATCTTCTTGGTCCTCTTCCATTTCCAAGCTTCCCCAAATGAGCTAAAGAGACCTCTTCTTCTCTACAATAATCCTGCGAGGTTGAGCTAAAGGTCTAGTCCAAAGTTTCCAAGATTGATGATGTACTAGAAACATGGTAGAGTATCTTAACTATTATAATACATTAGCTTTCAATGTTCTTTCCCTTCCTCTAAAATAACTGCCAATCCATAACTACTTTTCATATGCAAATCTTTATTAGTAGAAACAATTGGCTTCTCACACCAATTAAAATTGCTCCATTAGCATTCCCGGCCACTAGTTAGTTCTAAATAGTTACACTTTTCCAGACAGAATTAACAGTTTTTCCAACTTTAAAAAATCTTTTAAGAGTAATTCAACAGTAGCTTCTCTTCGCTAGAGGCTGGTAAGTCATATGTCTGGGAGTTTTCCATTCTGATTCCTGAACTGAGCAGAATCTGCATTTGCTATCCTGCATGGCTCCATCCAACTCTTTGGTTCTTTGATTTTTTGGCAAGGGAAAATAAATTCCAAGGAGCAAGTAATATTCCAGATTTTGCTAACCGATTTCTTTTCCTTTCCTTTTTTGGTGCTAATGCTTTTGAATCCTCACAAAAACAGGACATAAGACGGATCTGCCTATTATTCACTAGTTGCATAATTCATTCCTCTCTTAATTTTCAGTTCCCGTTGGCCAGCTGGGAAAAAGATCAGTTTTACTGACAATTAAGATACAAAAAGCTTCTTGTAAGGCAGTAAGTGCATCAGACAAGGATTAAAACCACTCAGTATGCCTTGAAGCATTATCACTGTGGGATTTTTGGTACCCTCTGAGCTATTTTTCTTGCAGATGTTTCATCACTCAACTAGGTAACATCATCAGTGCACTGATGATATTGCCTAGCTGAGTAATGAAATGTCTGCAAAAAACCGATCAGGCTCAGAGAGTACCATCTACCCCCTCAGTTCAACCCTGAGGTACAAATATTTTCTTCTATTAGCTTTATTGCACTTTCCCTTTAACTTAGACTGTAAATTTAATTACCTTTAATGTTAAACCCAACCAGCCAGCATTGCTCAAATGTAAAATCTTGTAAGTTCCCCTTTCTGGGGTTTTTGCCTGCTCAGCTTTTGAAAAATGCTTTCATATGTTAAATGCAATGTAGTTAATAAACTACAACAACTGAATGAGTGTCTTAGACAATGACAACGAATGTCTTAGCATGTAACTCTGCTTTCTTCAGCAAGCCATGGTTAAACAATCCATGCTTAGAAAATCGGTTAAACCCTGCTAATGCAACAGATTAAAGAAAATTAACAGGGCCTTCTTAAGAGGAAGCCTGATAATCAAAAATTAAAAATGTTCAAACACTGATACATGATATGAATGATCAATTTTGTGGCTATATTCAGTCCCCAAATATCTGCTTTGTTGCATCTGGAGCATGCTACCAGAATGCAATAGCGAATAAAATTTATTTATTAAATCTATATGCTGCCCATCTCAATATCAAGCAACTTAGGGCAGCTTACAACATCATAAAACAATGATATAAAACAGAATGTTCTATCAATCAATCAATCAGAATAGAGCTGGAAGGCACCTTCTCGCTCAAGCAGGAGACCCAATACCTATACATTAAATCTACTGTATATATTAAAAAATATTAAAAGGCCCTCTACATTAAAAATATTAAAAACAATTAACATTAAAAATCAAAAGAAAACTGGGCAAATCCATTCATAGTAGCCTTATTCTCCTACCACCTCTCCCGTTTTCCCTAAAACAAGGGCCCAAAATGAATGCTTCGATTTTTGTGGTATTTAAGGAGCCTACTTCATTGTTTAACGTGTCTCTTCCTTACTGCTCCAAAATTAACCTTGCACAGCCAATAATTCCACCGCTTTGCTTGAAAATGAATGCCCGCAAACAGTCTACAACTCTTGAAGACCCTTTTTTTAAAAAAAAAAGCAAGGTATGTCCTGCTACCACATGGAACTGCCCAGGCCAATATACAGAAGAACAGCTTACCTAAGTTGAGACTGGAGTTTTCCCGCTTTATTTATGAAATCTTCCCAAATTGGATAACTTCCCTGGAAGAGAAAAAACACAAAACTTTGATCAATGCAAATCTTTCCCCATGTCTAAAAATATTAAAGAAACTTACAAAAAAGAAAAATTCACAGTGGCAATAAACAAACACACAGGTAATGCTGATCAATGTTCTTCCTTAAAGACTCAGGATGGGGGGGAAAGTCATCTTATAATAATGCCCAGTTCCTGTAACCAATAATTTCTTCCAATCAAATCTGTAAACTAACCTTGATTGCATGTAGACAAAAATGGAGGCTACTTTGGAATAACCGTTACTCTTAACTTTACAAAGGAGTTGGGGAAAACAAACAACCTGTTCACACAATCAGCCCACAACCAACTGAAGATTGTTAAAATTCATTTCAACCAAGATAGAACCTGGTTATACAGAATTTTAAATCCATCATCAGCCATAATGGAAAGACATTCAATTCTCAAACATATAGATACAGATTATTCTCAACTTATGACTGGTTGTGCTTTGCAATCTCAAAAAACCTCACCCCATTCCTAAGAGGTCTGTAAGGGGCGCGCATAAGTGCACCATCGTGCCTCCCGTCCCTGTCCTATTGTCCCCGTTTATTTGTACCTATTTCCTGTATTCTTACTCATGTTTATACTTATATCTATTATCTTGTAAGTGATTGATAAATCAAATCAAATAAAATAAATAAAATAAATAAAAACTACTTACAACCCAGACTCGAAATTTCATGAGGGCCCTCCCCCTGCAGTCACATGACTCAATTTAGGTGTTTGGCAACTTGAGTACATTTACGACTATTTGCAGCAGTCCTGCAGTCACATGATTTATGATATGTTTAGGGGAAGCCAATAGTTACTACCAGTTTCTGGCAAAAAAAAACACCCTACCCATAGAAAACAATGGGCTCACCTAATGATTGCTGTGTTCACTTCACAACCGGCCCTTCAAAAGGCCACAACATTGGGTACTGTCATGTGGTGACTTGCTTTACGACTATCACAACTTATGAGCAAAACTGTGGGGTTTATTTACGGTCGAAAGTCGAGGAATCCCACACATTTTTACTAATGGCATTTTTAAAATTTGTTTAAACTGACCCAAAGAGCAACCTAGGAATAAGGATATAGTATATATATCAGTGATTTCTAAACTCTTTGATTCAATTACCCCATTTTCCCGGTCTCAAATAATTTTATTCCAGTATACCCACAAAAAAACAGACTTTGTTGGTTTACACAAGTGTCTCAACAGCAGCAGCAGTCCCAAACGGGATGCTGAACTAACAATGACAAATTGTTTCCAGTTGAAGAACCACTGGCCTGCATACATACACGTTTACTTTCTAGTACACAGGGATATGAAATTTGCAGAAATTATAAAAACCGTGTGAGGGGAAAAATATCACACCAGGAGCAGGGGATGCAGAGTGAAAATTTTGGAAAAAGTGCAACACTTTCTTTTATTTGGTGAATTATTATTTTTTTATTTTTACAACAAAGACAAACAAGTAAAACCATCTTTCAATTCAACAATGTGTCAGTTGGGTATATATATTCTGTGCACATAATAATATCATACATTTCTTATTTGTTTATATACAGTATATAACCATTCTAATCAATATTTTATCTCACATTAATCAGCTACTATGTTATGTTAAAAAGTGCAACATTTTCTACCGAGCTTCATTTGATTGCACTGACAACATGAAAAACATTATTTAAAACAAGGTTCGGGAAGAGCACCTGCCTCAAAAGTCTGATTAGTCCTCAGATATTGTCTTGTAGGCTGGGTGACATCACTGAGTAGTGGCAAAACTCTGCCTTTTTGCAGAGAGAATTTATTCCAGAGTGCAAGGAGCAGCCTGAAGTAACTCCTTTGTAAGTATGACGACTTGAAGGCCTTCCTAAGACTTCCTCCATCTGGGTAAGTCTTCCCCTGAAGCTCCAGATCTCTGATGACAGAGGAAAAGATTCCAGGAAAGAGACAAATCCATGCCAACTAATTATAGAGGTCTGGTTCAAGACTTACGTTTGTTTATACGTTAACCAAACTTGTTATATGTTAACCAACATATAAAATAAAATTATTTGGTGTATTTGAGACATAAAGAATAACAGTTTGGTTTAGTATTAACACGATGGGCCTAGGAACCAAAATATTGAGTTCTTTAGGCATAAAAACTGGCTGGATTACTTTGGGCTAATTACACCAGGAGGATGTGTGAGTTCTAGTCCCACTTTAGGCATGAAAACCCTGGAAGACTTTGACCAATCACCAGGAGAGGGTGAGTTCTAGTCCCATCTTAGGCATGAAAGCTGGCTAAGTGACTTTGACCAATCACCAGGAGAGAGTTCTAATCCTGCCCTAAGCAAGAAAGCCAGCTGAGTGACTTTGGGCCAATCACCAGGAGAAAGTGGCTTCTAGTTTTTAGGCATGAAAGCCGGCTGGGTGTCTTTGGGCCAATCATTTTCTTTCGGCCCAACCCACTTCACAGGTGTGGAAAATAGGTGGAAGGAATATTACGCACGTTCTCCATCCTGAGCTATTTGTAAACAATAATAAAGGCAAGATAAAAATCAAATAAATAAAATGACGCATCCTTCTAAGTATGAACTGCAATTCTCTTCTTCCCCACGTCCAAATTTTGAACCACAAAGTCTGGAGGGAATGCAATGAGGCAAGTCAATTCCTAACTCCACTCCCAGCCTCCTTAATCCCCTTTCCCCTTAAACTCAGCCCAAACTCTGATTTGGTTTTGACAGGAAGGCTGCCATTGCTCTGGGGCAATTCAACAACTCCAGAATCATCCCACTTTCCCCAGGAGACACCGCAAAAGACCCATGAAATAAAGACACCATTCTGTCAAGAATCAGTCACTTCTCGGTAATCATGAAACCAGATCGGAGCAGCTCTAGGCTGAGCAAAAGATCTGTCAACTGTTGATGATTTTGAAGTACCAAGAAGTAGGTAAGACTCCCACTCTGGCCTCAGCCTCACCTGTTACAGCACAAGCTCCAAACAAAACAGCAATTCATTCAGGCATTCTCAGATTTCTTGTCTCTCTGGTTCATTTTCGCCAAGCTTCAAAACCATCCACTTCACTTGTCAGGGATTTTTTTCCCGACAAGTGTTTTGTTTCTTAACACAACATGTAGTGTTTGCCTATGTTTTCGTTGTATGAGATTTCATAACATTTAGCCTAATCCTTTACCGAATTATTTATTTAGTCCTCAGATAACTATAACAGGCCTTTCTTCTAGACCAGGGGTCTTCAAACTTTAAGACTTGTGGACTTCAACTCCCAGAATTCCTCCTCCAATCATGTTAGCTCAGGAATTCTGGGAGTTGAAGTCCACAAGCCTTAAACTTGCCAAGTTTGAAGACTAGTGGTGGTATTCTACCAGTTCGGCCCGGTTCTGTCAAGCCGGTAGCACCGATGAGCAGTGGAGACGGAACCAGTTCTCTCCGCTACTCTGCTGTTCGGCCCACCTGCCTGCCTGGTCTACCATACTCACCTCTATTCCCTGCTTTTGAAGCACAGCTGCTTTGCGCGGCAAAGCAGAGTTCAGTGCGGTAGCTGCTGACGCAACTGAGAGTGCAGGCTTGCAGGAGGTGGGTTGGAATGCCTCTGTGCCTGCACAAAGCGTGCGTTTGGTGTGCGCGCACATGCAAAGTGTGTCCACGCACGCAAAATGCACCCACTGAACCGGTGGTAGACAATTTTGAAACACACCACTGTTGAAGACCCTTGTTCCAGACAGTCATGGCCTAACATAGACTTCTCCAACCTTGCTTCATATCATCAACTCATCAAGTTGAGCTGAATGGTTGATCAAGATCACCCATTGAGTTTCATGATGGGAGGTAAACTAAGACCTTAACTAGGCCTGCCGTAGTTCAAGAGCTTAACCAATGTACCATATGTACAGCAACATCAGGGTCACATTAACGGCACCAATGGCATCCTTACGTGCTCTGCGGCTCATAAACTGGGCAGCTGTGTGGCCCACTTGATAAAGAAGGGGATTTGTAGATATCGATGTAGGTGTACAGATTTTTTTTTTCAAGGCGAAAAGATAAAACCTTGATTCTTTCATCCTGAGAAATCTATTGAACATCATCCCATTCATTTAACAACAACATCCAGTACTTTAGGGGTTGTCACAGAGAAGAAGGGATTGACTTACTCTCCAAGGCCCCAGAGGGCAGGACAAAAAGTAATGGGTGGAAGCTTGTTAAAGAGAGATCCAACTTAGAACTAAGGAGAAATTTATCTGACAGTGACAATAATTAATCAATGGGACAGCTTATCTCCCAGAGGTGTGGGTGCTTCCTCACTGGAGGTTTTCAAAAATAAACTGGACAACCTTTTGAGCAGGATGGTGTAAGGCTCCTGCCTTGAGCAAAGGGTTGGACTAGAAGACCTCCAAAGTCCCTTCTAGCCTTATGATTCTATGTTCTATCCTCTTCACTTAACAAGTGCCAACTGGCTGCGATAACTCTTCCAATCTATCAAACAGAAGATGAATCTCTTATTATTTGTTATACTTCAATGCAATTTTCTGCCTCTCTTCATGGTTAATATATATTTTCATTATGTTCACTAGGGAGAGAAAATCCAGGAGGGAATAACACATGCAACCTAATACAGCAATTATTCTCCCTCAAACCAAAATAAGATGATACAAATGTCAGGTGATTCAAAACTCTAATTCCAGGCAACCTTGAACAGATTAACAAATGAAAAGGGCAACGGTATAGGTATAGCCCCAAAACACGGGCACAGATTTTTCACCACTACCCTGTATTTTGAGAAAGGGCCACTCAAATCGTCTTCCTCTGGCACAAGAAGACACATGTCTAAAACCAAAGGAACATTGTCATTTGTCATTAAGAAAACAAGCATATCCAAATAGGCTAAATGATAACTTTCTGGAGAACAACAAGTGGAAAATGGTTGCATTCTAGCATAATCCTAATGTCAAGGACTGCTATCATTGTGTTTTAAGT